TATGCTATTAAGTGCATAAGTAGCTCTGCTGCAATACACGATGTTCTAAGCACATTGAACACAACATGGGAGAACAGTGGGGGATCCATGGTGTCTCACAGCAGATGCTGGAGTTTGCAGCAGAGACTGTCATTCAAGTGGCATGAAAGTAAGCCAGAAGCCCAGGGAGGGCTGAGAAGCAAAGAGGTGGTTGATGGGATGTTGTTCATGTTCCCAACATGCATAATGCTATCTTGAGCATTCCAACAGTGCTTAGCCACTGAAGGTGACACCGGGCACTATGGGATGCTTACCACATTGCTTTGCTCTATCTGTCGATAGGATGCTAGCAATGTGGTCATGAAATGTCAACAATGGATGACAGAGAAACAGGTTAGTCCTGTTTTCACTTTTGGCAACTTTTGCTTGTCAACAGCACTTTCATCACCAAACCATCCCAGTGTAGACATAACCCTCGTTTTACAACAGGCCATCTAAAAACACTGGTGAAGGTAGTGCAAACTAAAATGACATATAGACAATGGCATGTAAATACAATATTCATATTCAGTTGATTTACAATATAAAAGTGAAAGTAATTTATTAGTAGTTGTGTGGCTGTGACATTTTTTATGTTATTTGATTTTTATAAGCAAGTAGTTTTTAAGCGAGGTGAAACTTCCTGTGTACACAAGACAAATCAGACTCCTGAAAGGTTGGAAAGGTCGAGAGCCACTGCACTACAACACTGAAGTGCTAACAAGCAGAAGGTTGTAACTACAGGGTCTGGTAATGACCGGTTTTTCAGTGTCTGGGAACTTTTATTTAATCAGCTGTGTGCAGATGTGCGACAAAGTGGCTGAATTGCTTGTCAGCAGGTATTAACACCCTACAAAGAAAGAGGTTACTTACTGCTCACTCCTGAGGCAGGTATGACATATCAGATTCCACCCTGGAAGAAAGGGGGGGTAGACAAATGGGTCCTAGAGAAGGAACCCTAAGAGCAGCCACATCACAGAATTTATATATGGTTTTGGAACTGTCTTTCTTTTTCTCTTAATTGGACTGCAGTCTTTGATTTTGAGAAGGTAGATCTTTGTTTGCTCATTCTCATCAACATCTCCCCCCCCATATACACACATGCATAGATGAAGCAATGATCAAAGGCCAGTTCAAACTACTAGCACCAGGAAACAGACAGGAAGCTTTCCCACTGGGGACGTTGTGGTAGGATAGCAGAAATAGCATTACAGGCCCTACCATTGCAGAAGCAGTTTTCACGATCCTTGTGGATTGGTTCTCTGGTCGCTCTATTATACTGTTCTCCATTTGCATCATAGGGAGTAAGAAGACTTCTTCCCCCATCTCCACTTCAAGGATCAATTAATTTTAACCTCAAGGAGAAGAGGTTGGGCCTCACATTTCAGTAGGTAAAGAAGGCTACCTATTATTGTGCTTGGATTAACAAATAATGGTTGACCATCCAAACTTGGGCAAACCTGCCAATTCCAGCGATTGCTGATACAATCTGCCTAAAAAAGCCTATTTTGCTGTCTTGTGCCTGCAGGTATCTGTCTTGTGTGGGATCCTTCACTGGTTAAGATTGCTAAGAGCCTGCCTTGCCTTGAAAAATTAAACAATTGTAATTATGTAACTGAATACATACATGGCTCTCTACCAACCATTAACCAGTTTCTTCTCCCTGCACTACCCATGAAGCCCATGTTATCCCCACATTACAGATAGTGAAATTAAGGCATTGTTGACTATGTCAGGAATTGAGGTTGTGGGATTTCAGGAGTTGGATTTGATAAGGATCCTGACAAGGTGGAAAAGCTCTGTTTCATTTTAAAAGCCAGAGGATGGAGAGTATTGAGAACTTGAAAGCAATTTTACAGGCAGATTGAGGTTAATAAGAGTTCTTAAAAAATGTTTGAAGCACATCAGTGACAGTCCCAACCCATTTGTGGAATAAATCATCTAACTAGAACACAAAGTAGGACTGGGGCTGGATGCTCGCATGAAGACAAAAAGGAAAAAGAGAAGGATCTTGTGACTAGGAAAGAGATCTAATATATGAAGTACGTGACTATTCTTAATAGGTTGGCTTACCAGAAGGCCAGCTACCTGTGAGCCTGGCTGAAAGGCATTCCTTTAGAGAGGAGGGGGTGGGTAAGCTTCCTTACTGGCACTGCACTCACTGGGGAAAGCATTTAGTGGTGATCACCACCAAGGACTCCACATGTTGACATGTGTCTGAAAGACTACACAAGGTGAATGAAGCTTCTAGGGCCCCAAACCACAAAGGTATTAGGTTCCTAACTTCCACTGAAATCAGTAGCAGCTAGGAGCCTACATATCTTTTGGATCTGGACCTAAGTGAACTCTTCCTTCAGTTTCCTGGACATAGTTTGAGCACTAAGGCAAACATCTTGAAAACTCTTCATTCTACCCCATCAGCCTTAGTTGCCAGCATTCTTCTGGTCTAGATCAGTGTTTCTCAACCAGTGGTACGAGTACCCCTAGGGGTACTCGAGAGAAGTCTGGGGGGTACTTCAACACAACTGAAATTTGGAGAAAACTGAATTTTTGTTTTAAGTTTTACAGCACTTTATTATTTTTGTACTTTTTACACCCAAAAATTTCATTGCCTGCCCAGCTACGATTAAGTTGTTTAAACAAATGTGTTGCTTATAGTTTTTTTTTAAAGTGTGCATCTGAAAACTGTAGGAACTGGAGGTACTTATAGTTTTTTTTTAAAAAGGGGTACTTTATACAAAAAAAGGTTGAGAAACACTGGTCTAACCGGTGTATGTGACTATCCGTTTCATGATTCTTCCTCCTCTGCTGTTCTGCCAGCCAACAGGAGAGGTGGTTTGCCTCAAACATTCATTATTCACATTCTTCTGTGGTGCTTCCACAGGAGACCAATAAAGAAAGATGACAGCATTGACTGGCTTTTCTGTGAGTACATGGACTCTTTAGTTGTCTCCTAATGACATAAAAATCTCCCTGCAGCAATCGATACCAATGGTAGTCCAGAACTGTTCTTCAGTCAGGTATGTCTCAGTTCTGTTGCCTCTTGCAAGGTGATAGGGATGGAATAAAAGGAGATGTCCATCCGCCTTGGTGAGGATGATGATGCATTAAATCACCCCTTCACTTTAAACACATGGGAATAGTCTGAAGAGACTTTGTTCAGGCAATTTACCAGTGCAAATGTAGAATTATTAACATCCATGGGAATGTTCAGGAGTCTGTAGCTTCACTGCAGGAAGACTGAACAGGCTAAAGAAAATGTGAACCAGTCAGTGTCAACTCAGCCATAAGTAATAAACTGGCACTTGTTGGCTTTGCCTCAGGTTTCATCTTCCATGCTCTCACTTTGGTATTGGCTCCCATTTTGCAGACTGCCACCAACAATAGCTTCCGTATCCCCTTTCAGTCTTGAGTCTGTCTTCCTGAGACTGAAAATCCAGAGATGCAAATGTATCCTATGGATACACTTGACCCCATGACACCTCTCTTTTCTCCCAGGAGCACCCTTGAAGCATCTCTGCCCTTGGCTTCTATCCTTTCTACTGACTTACCCACATCATGTGCCATCCAGTTTGTCTGGGAAATATGGGGAGTGTTGAAAACAACTCAAGTGGAATGGTTACTCACAGAGGCAGAAGATATAGCAAGTCCTCAGAGAATGGCATAATTGTGGCATCTTACAAACAGCAGCAAAAATGTCTGAGCTCTTTTTCAGTGTTTACTCTTTCTCTTTTGTGTTGATTTCCATAGCTGACAGTACTATTGGCATCCTCTTGTGTCTGTGGGGTTGGGTCCATAGGTTGATGAGCCTTCTCTTGAAGGAAGAAAACCATTTTCTGAGAACTTGTGGGGTGCATCTACACTGCACTGAAATTTGAAATGAGCTATGCAAATTGCGTATCTAATTTCAATCTTATTTTGAAATATGGCGCTGTCTACACAGCACTTATTTTGAAATAAATCGCTATTCCGAAATGTCCCTTACTCCTTGTGGAAAGATGTTTACAGGGATGTTGGAATAGCAAGCTCATTATATTTCAAAATAACAGGTGCGCTCAAAAGATGTGGAATATCTATTTTGGGATACCTCCCACCATGTTGGAGCACACTCCCTCTGTCTCCCCTTTCAGTAGCTTGGTCTCTGGTGCTACCTTTAAAAATTGTAATGCTTGATTGTCTTTTAATTCATGTGTTATGGTGTCTTTTTTGAGTGCTGTATTTTTGTGAAAGGTGTAATGAGTTCTTCCTGAAGCACAAATAGAGTAGAAGTCCTTATATATGTGTGGGCATTAAAGCTTTTGAAAATACCAGCTGAGTGCCTCTGAGGGGCATGAGGACAAAAAGGAAAGACAGAGATGTGGGAAAGGGTATGGAGACTCAGCGATCTTGGTGGTCAGTTTCTTAAAATGCTGTGTACGCCCAGCAGAGTAAAAAATCCCTTTTCTATGCCCAAACAATCATTTTTTTGTCTGCACAGTCTTTTGAAAATGTTATCCCTCGCTTCTATCCCAGCTGTCCATACCAGGGGGAAATAACACACACAGTCTCACAGGAGTGCTTTTAGATTTAGTGTTTTGAAGATAAAAAATGCATTAGAAATATTTTTATGGTAAATGTGAGTGCTTTTTGTAAGTTTTGTTTTTTAAAAAGTCGGCACCAAATGAAAATGGCTTAAGATGAGACTATACTGAACTACGAAATTCCTGTGCTGAGTTATAAAGAGATCAAACATAATTAGTCTGTAACTTCCTGAACTCGTTGTCCATCCTGCATAACTACTTCCTGTCCAATTGGCCTGATTCCAAGCAAAAGCAAGCCCTGTTTGGCAACATTCAGCATCTTCAGGGCAGCTTGTAGGTGATTTCACCTGCTCTCCAGAAGTCAGGGAGATTTTTTAAAATATATTTATTCACTCTTTGGTGAATCACCTAGAGTACAAGAATGATTTATGGTGGGTCTAAACTTCATGCTCTTTCTTGAACAACTTGTACCTATTGAAATTTCAAATTAATCTCTACAAGAAAAACACAATGCAGTTAGCTGCCTGTATTCTGTCTCTTGTACTGTTAGAAACAAATTACAAGGAGTATTTGGCACCAAAGAGAATAGCTAAAATATCTATGAACTATATAAACCAAAGTTAGAGACCACATGGTATAATTGAAACGTTGCTTTATGTTTTCTCAGATTATCCACTCATGATAATTCTGCATAAAGATGTTAGTGATACAAAATATTACATATATTGCCATTCTGTTCATTCCACATTGGGCAGGTAATCTGCTATTTGCAAAAGTAATTTATGGTCTCAATCCACCACTCTCCATGGATGCTTAGGCAGTAATGGAATCCTGAAGTGATTTCCAGCTGTTGTTGGTTTAAGAAGTTGCAATCTTTCTTTCTTAGAGTTGAATTTAAGCATAGGTGCTATAGGGCAATTCAAAATCCAAACTCCTGGAGTCATGTGATGAGTTCAGAATCTCAGCTTTAAAAAAAAATTAAAATGTCAGTCCTTATGGTTGTGAAGAAAAGCTTGAAAACACATCCCAAGTGTAAGTAACAGAGCGATGCCTACAGGTAGCCTGAAACAATCACTGGCTAGTCCTGGGGAAATTCTGCAATAGTTGCATTTGGAGCCAAAGAAAAATTGTAGAATTTCCCCAGGGTTGAGAGAGAAGCCGCCTCATAAATCTCAGAGAAAACAGTTAACTACAGGACCCGCTGTTCTACAGGTCTTCTGCAAACACTTGTGTTGCCAGAGGACCCTGTGTGGCAGGAGGAGCACAATAAGTAAGCCTCTCTTACCCATCAAGCAGAAGACATCTAACTGTTGGGATAAGAACACAGGCAGAGACTCTCCTCCCCCTGCTCCTTCATACGGATCTTGACGTGGTTATCAAATCATTTGTCATATCCAGACTTGGTCTATTGCAAAGCACATCTTCAAGACTTCCCTTGAAGACCATCTGGAAGACACAGCTGAATTTGGAATGCAACTGTCTGCCTGCTTAGTGAGGTAAATCCCCAGCAACAAAAGGGCTGGATTCTCAGTGCTATTCCAAGAGAAAATAAATCATGAGGATTGTGGGGTGTTTTTTAAAAAATCAGTTCATGTTTTAGTTTACCTTCTAGCTCCCCTCTGTTCCTCTGCTAATGCACCTGCGATAACTTCAGGGTGAACAGTCAGCCTTTAATGCACACAAACATGCATGCTTCTCCCTGGCTGCTCAGGTGGGGACTTCACTTACCCTCTCCTCACCCATAAGACTGGGAAACTGCATCTATTTCCTGTTGCTGTCTTGGCCCAGCAGCAACTTTTCTCTTCCTGGGACTCAGTGCCATCACTTCCCCAGCTCCCTAGCTTTGGTTTCATCAGGTATTTATGAGACAAGTAAAAATACCCCAAAATTGCCAGAGCTGTGATAACAGCATGAGGTGGCAAAAAGCCCAGAATGTTCCGGGGACTGGCTACCCTACAGACCTCCTGCCCTCCTACACCATGTCATTACAGTTAAGATCACTGGGGCACAACTGTTAATTCCTGAAGGAAATTTTTCAAGATTTGACTGTGGCCAAATCTATAGAGGTATGTAGCTTCCTCAAGATGTAGCTAGGCAATGAGCAGGATTTTCAAAGGCACCAAATTACATCACTCCCATTTAAATCAGTGGCAGTAAAGGCACGTTGGTGCTTTAAAAAATCCCACTATGTGCCTATCTGAAACATTAGGTGCTGAAATACCTTTACAAATATGGTCCTGGGGGTCCATGCAGCTCTTTGACAGTTGAAGTATGGCCCTTGGAGTCATTCCCCCTCATTCTCTGCAAACCAGACTGTTTGGGATAGGGGGGCTTAGGGCTTCTGCCCTGTAGTGAAGTGGTATTTCTAGGAGCTTCTGACCAGCAGGCTGGGGGGTCTTGGGACTTCAGCTCCACAGTAGGTGCCTGTCAGGACTCAAGTCTTTAGCAAGAATCCTAGAGCTGGAAGAGACCTCAGGAGGTCATCAAATCCAACCCCCTTTCCAAAACAAGACCAACCCCAACTAAATCATCCCGCCAGGGCTTTGTCGAGCCAGGACTTAAAAACTTCTAGGGATGGAGATTCTACCACCTCCCTAGGTAACCCATTCCAGTGCTTCATCACCCTTCTAGTGAAATAGTTCTTCCTAATATCCAACCTAGACCTCCCCCACTGGAACTTGAGACCATTGCTCCTCGTTCTGCCATCTGTCACTACTGAGAACAGCTTCTCTCCATCCTCTTTGGAACCTTCCTTCAGGAACTTGAAGGCTGCTATCAAATCCCCCCTCACTCTTCTCTTCTTCAGACTAAACAAGCGCAAGTCCCTCAGCCTTTCCTCGTAAGTCACGTGCTCCAGCCACCTAATCATGTTTGTTGCCCTCTGCTGGACTTTCTCCAATGCATCCACATCCTTTCTGTAATAGGGAGCTGCGACAGGGCACAGCGACCCCGTCCCCAGGTCGGAGCCGTGGCGGTGGAGCATGGCTGCCTGGCCCCACCCCTGCGCTGCTGCGGTGCATGCTCAAGCCGTGTGCTGAGTGTTTTAAATGCCGGCGGAGTGGGGAGGAGGGTAAGGAGGAGTTGAGGCACTGACCGGGGAGAAGCCGGCTCGCCCGACAGAGGACGTGCCGGGAGTGGTTGACTTGGGGGTGGCCAGTGATGGAGGAGACCAGAAGGCACTGGAGCCCCCTCCCGGAGCTGCCCTAGCCGGCGGGAGAACTAAGACACCAGATGCTACGGAAGATGCCCTGACGGGGAGA